TTTTATTTATTTTTTATTATTTTTATATTAGGACAAGGTAAACTTTCACTGTTAATATCTATTGTTAACTAAATGTTTACCTGATTTTGAAATGGTGGAAATTTTTCACAATTAGATTTTACTAAAGTAGGAGTATCACTACTTAACAAGAATAATACTCAAGTAAAAGTAAAAAGTACGGCACAGTAAATCTACTCCTAAAAGTATATTATATATATATATTTTTTTTTTTCAAATTGTTATGTAACTGAGTAAATGTAACTAATTACTACTTACCTCTGGGTACCTCTAATAAATGTAGTCAGGTCTTTGCGAAAATGAAATGATTGCTTTGCCTTTGAAATAATTGGCCTAGTTTATTTCAGACATCTATTTAATCAATTAAATTGCATTTAATAATTTTCCAAATAGTTAATGGACATCTATGTTAATTAGTTAAGGGGTATTTTGTCTAGAGCGTAGATCTATTTAACCAAGATAAACAAGCAACAAAATAAAATTGAAATCAGTGATTTACAAACGTAACTTTCAAATCTCATCTGTGCTCAGATGATTTATACATTTTTTTGTTCACCTCCAAAAACCTTATGGATCCCGAGGTTATTTCTTTTTCAGTAAAATATAAATGTTGATAGCTGTAAACAGGAAGGACCTCCTATAGCTGTCTTTCTTGCAGCAGATTTGGAGGGGCCTTTGACTGGAGACACTCTGTTGTCAATCAACAGCACTCTGAATAAAAATATGATAAATGTAGGACTGTTTAAGTATATTAATAGTTTTTTTTCATTGCAGTCGAAAAACCTTTTAACTTGTTTGTGTAATAACTTCATAAATGTTCCTCATCTGCCTCCTTGGTATTCTGTTTGCTGTGTCCTCCATCTGTAAAATGCATCTAGTCACCGTGTGTAGCAGTGCTAGATGGAGATTGTGATACTCCAACCCCCCACCCATCCACCCCTGACTGTTTTCAGAAAAACCTGAACTTTGCTGATCCAGAAAGCTGACAATACAAATCCTTTGCAGCTTGCTTGTCAAAGGCAGTTAAGGTTACAATGTGTGTATCATCAAATTAGTAGATGTTTCATATGTAATTATTTTATTATATTTAACACTATTCACTCAAGGACATCCACACATTAATTCTATCAACTATTAAGTCTAAGCTTAGACCACATTTAGACCACATGCGTTAAGATCAGGTTTAAAAATAGACCTACTATCTCATGAGGTCTAACTAAGGTCTATTTGTCTCTTCATATTTGAAAGGTATAGTGGAGGATTGGTCCTTGAACTTTAATCTGAATTCAAACCATAGTTAAAAATGCCCTTTAGTTAAGTGTTTGCCTTTGGGTTGTTGCAATTTCTCCAAACCTAACATGTGCTGCTGATAATAATGCCAAAAGGCACTTTAGTGTTTCTCTTGATTAATGAAAATTAAATAAATATATTTTTTTAGTGACCGTTATCTGATTTATACGGTTTGATTTTACATATTTACAGTTTAGCTTAGTTAGGGTCTCCTCTATGAAAAGTTTGATGAAGACATTTTAGATCATTTATGTCCAACAATGTTGTGTTATGAGCATTTTACATGTACATCATTAGAAAATCAGCCTAGTTTCTAGATTGCTTTAAACATTTTTGTGATGGAGAACTTGTCAGATAAAAAAAAAAACTCTTTACAATTAAATAAATACATGCTTTAATATAGAACAGTGCTCTAGAATAGAGATCTGTGGGGTTTTTTTCAATATATAAAACATGAAATACTTGTCAAACTTTAAAATGTATTGTTTAAATATTTCCGTTCATTGTAAGATTTTTTTTTCAGGAGCTACCAGCTCCCATTTTGGATGATGTTGCTGTTGCCAAACCTGTTGAGCAGCCCAGGCTGAGTGGTGAACCCCAGGACAGTTTGGATGCCATGAAGATTGCCTGGCGCTACCAGAATCTCCCTAAAGTGCAGGTGATCCCACTGTGCTTTTTAATGCAACCGTTTTTTTACAATTTTTACAATCAAATGGAGGCTATCTTAATTTAGTGAAAGTTCAACATGTGCCACCCTTAATGATAGGATGAGAAAGAACAGCACTGGATCTCGGCTTTTAGTCCTTTGACAATGGTTTCGAGCACTAAATCCATCTACCTCTAAACTCCTTTGTGGAGTGAATGAGGCCTCGGCCTCTCTTTTCAGGGCCGCAGCAGATTACTCACACTTAGCTGGCAATAGGTAGGCTTTTCACTGTTCCCCCAGCTCACATATACTCACACATACACACACACTTGCACCCCTGCTTGGCCTGGGAAACAAGGGTACTTTGCAGGCAGTGCATTGACATGTCTGCTCGCTCAACCCTATGACCCAGACCTGTGCCTCCATCTTCCCCCAAATCCCTGCCTTTCCCCCTGCTAGGGTCGGCAGCTCTACACTCTTTCTTCCGCTTTGAGGAGAGCAGACCCTCCCCTTCTTCTTCTTCTACTCTGCAGTCTACCCCCGTTGGTCTATAATCCATATCGCTATGTGGATTAACAGAACACAGTGTATCCCTAGGGATCCTCTCCCTCTTTCTCTCCCTGGAAACTTCTTTATATCTGTGTCCTTTCACCACCTCTCCCCCCCTTCCCCTGTAAAATCGTCTTTACAAACCACTAGTAAGCCCCGCCAGAGGATTTGCATCCCAAATTCACCTCGAGAGTCAACGCTTGCTTTCCCCTTACACACACCTCTCCTGGCACAGCCCACTGCGTCGTTCTCCTGATGAAGACATCAGATCAAAGGTGAGCCCGTCAGGGCGGGGATGGAACGCTAAGCGGGTTGCCTGGTTCACAAAGAGAAGATGAGCGCCTGACCCCCCCTCCTCTGCCCCCTGACCCCCTCGTCCTGACAGGAGAGGGACACACCGGGGGCCCTAATCCAGATTAGGAGTAGATTAAGGGCCCCTCTCACAATGGGGACCACGGTTTTACCGAGAAAGAAGAACTAAAACTCTCTCTTTCAGCTGCAGGAAAACATCCGCCTTCCCCTGCTTCCATGCCATGTTCGCTTTCACAGCCAGAAGTGGACATTTAAGTAAAGAAATGATGAAGAGGCTGGCCATAGTGCTTATTTACTTCTCCGTCGTAAATAAAAGTTGAGAAATTAACCATTAACAATTAAATTGCATCGCCACAGTAAAGTTTAAAAACAATTTTATAAACTGTATTTTTGGTTTACTACATCAAAAAGTTGAGTTTATGAAGCCCAATCAAAAACCCTTCTTTTTCTTTTTAACCAAGTTTTTTTTTTTTTTTTTTTTTTTTTTATGCATTTATAAATATTTCAGAGTGCTTTGGCATCTTCGTCTCGTTTTGGACACTACTACGATGTCTCAAAGACGATGGAGGAGGAAATTCGCCAAGCGGCCACGTTTCACCGCTTCTACCTTCCAGATCACGTCACCCCTTCATCAGAGGCACACAGGTAGGACAGCAAGACACAGTCCTATAATAAATCAGGCCAAACCGATAAGACAAAATCCAGCGAACACATGCACAAAAGCATGACATCATCCGCATAACGGGGCTGTTCAAATACGACTTCAACTTCAGAAAGCATGTAAGTTAACATGGCAATGTTCCCTGAATAACAGGTGAACCCTAAATGCAGTGAGACGGAGTTGTAGAATATAAAGAGCACATCCCTTTGGAATAATCCTAGTAAACATGAGCAGGCAGAGAAGATTGGTCTTCAATACATCACGTTTCATACTCTGTTTGCATTAGTTTAGGTTTCTTGCTCAAATGAAGGCTAGAAAATATTGCAAAGTTGCAAATATTCACATTTCTTTGTGGCAAAAAAACTAAATCCATTCAAATAATTTCTGAGACAAATATAATAAATAGATGCTTAAATTGTAAATGCTTGAATTAACTTATATTTGTTTTGTCTCGAATTAAATGAGGCATTAATCAGTGTTACGGTAAACCTTAAACTAATCAAACAATTGTTTCAGCTCCAGTAAAATGGCTGATGGTTTTTTTTTTACTTCAGGAAAACAAAGCCTAATTTATCTGTTATATCATAACATTCACTTAGATGATTTAAAGTAGGAATTTATGTTTTAGTAGTCTGGTAGATTAAATATCACTTTGTTCATTTACCCCTTTGAAAAATGTGTTTAAATTAAATTAAAATCAATGAATTAATTAAATTACTGTTCTGCTTTAATCCAGATAAAACCCACATTTAAAAATGTTCCAGTTATGAACAGATAACATGAATCACTCAATATAATTACTATTTTTACAGCTGATTGAAATTTGTTACGTATCTGCTTGCTTGCTCTCCTGTTTAGCATCTTATGCCACAGGTCAGGTCATTCAGTTCTAGAGGAAAAGGTTGCGTATGTCTGTTCAAACAAGGGTTTTGTTTGCTCAGCGTTTGTTTGATTTCTCCTGCATTGAGTGTACTTAGGGTTCAGAGGTCGCGCAGGCTCTTTACCCGGAAAGTGCTGCTGAACACACATGGGCACACGAAGGCTCACTCGCTTGCACTGGGTAAATACAGCAATCTGGAGCACAGAGGATGTTGGAGGAGGCTTTAGAGAATCCCTCATTCCCTCTATCAGCAAACAGAGAGCGGTAAACAAACTGACCGTACAAACACATTAAAAGTTATGGGCATTCGGGTTAAAATGTACATTTTCACAAGAGCGGTGCTCAAGGTGGAAAGTGACCTCTAATCAGTTAAATGTTATTTCTTAACGCAATAATGGTTAATGTTAAGAATGTGGGAAGAATCTCCCTGGGCTGCACACAAAGGTGACATAGTGGTGCTGTTGGAGAGTGTGAATGGGTTATAGATCTTACAGGCATTTTGACAGCTGCAAGCTACACCTGCAAAGTGCCATTGTGCCCCAAGGCCCGCCCAAGTACCGACACGAGAACACACACGCACGCACAATCAGTGCATATCTTATAAGCTCATGAAACACACAAACTGGAAGCTAGCTACTCCCCCTTGCATGTGTCCGCTGCCCCATGTTGATACCCTAGCTGTTAAATTGCTCCGTTTCACTTGAAGGCATAATTGGCACAAATTGCTCTCTAGGTGATACGGATCCTGTTGTTTAAGACCAAGCATCTCCCGTCTCTCCTTCTTTCTTCCCCAGCTGAAAGAGAAACGCTGAGATAAAGACGCTTTCCGGTGCATGATCCTAATTAGCTGACGCACTAGCCCCTGTAGCTACGCACCTAACCCTCTTTAGGTACCTGAATGATCTTGCTCGGTAGGGGTAGCGAAAACACAATGCTGGCCTCCACCACGGCTGCCAACCAGTCACAACCTCCTGCGAGCAGCCGAACGTCAGAGCGTCCCAGCCCCCCACCACCTCAGAGCTGGGGCATGGGCAGAGAGGCCGTGGAGAGTACGGGTCCCTTTTTCACCGGTGCAGCTCTATCATTATCCACAGCAGGGTCAGGAGGCACCATTGTTGAGCTGAATAACTGAAATAGAGTTCATTGATATACTTGGCCAAGGGTAATCAACACAAGTGTGCGGCTCTCTTCTTTATGTGGGGGTTTTGGCGTGTGACCAACCTATGTGTATCAGCTTTTGTGGTTCTCAGGTTGAATTGACAGCTGACACAGTAGCCCACTGAGAGCTGCCACAGAGTGGTCATTACAGCGGCGAGGTGTTTCTAAGTGGAGGGTCTGGTGTAAAACGATGGGGTTAACATTATTATTGGCCATCCCATAAGCTCATAGAGGGCTCAGCAGTAATCCATCCCTTGACTGTTGCTAAATGTTGCTCCGATGGCACTGTGTGGCCCCTGTCAGTGGTGCACATCTTACCCTTGATTAAACACAAAAATGCTGTTCTCTGTTAGTTTTAGATATCAGCCCATTAATCCCTCATCTCCTCTCCGTGTGCGCACGTTTGCGCATATGTGCACCTCATCTGTCTGTCTGTCTCGGCACAATCGGATCCTCAGGGAGCTGACAGGGAACCAGTCATGTTGTAATTTAATCAACCAAATAAATTAATTGGATCTCTTGATATGGATCATCTGTCTGCTTCGGTGGCTCCAGAAAAGCACTGTCAGGAGGAGCAGGCTGCAGTCATTGAGGATTAGGTTACTGCAGTGATCAGCTTGGCCCAGGTTTCTCAAAATGATCCTGCTGATGGTTTTTACATTTTAGATAAAATAGATTTGTGTTCCCTGTTTACATTATGTCTCATTCTTTGTCCAATCTCAGGGTTGAGTCATACTCTGCCTTACTGAAGTCACTGCAAGAGGTCATTCAGAGAGAGGGCTTTGATTTGGCGACCCCAATGGTAAGAACCAAATAAACTGTCTACTTTGTTTTATTCAATCAAAAACACAAAGTTTTATAGTTTAGGATATTGTATTGAATAAACATATTAAGTCACTCTGGCTTTAGTAGAGCTTGCTTTAGAGATAATCCATATCATCCATCATTAAATCAGTTTGCAATCTTCTGACTTTTAGCACCCTGTTAAGGGTGTCAGGTCATTTTCTCTTCACAGGGAACTTCATGTACAAAAGCAGAAAAATATTGAAAGTCTAGATCAGTGCTCAGTAACTGTCAGGACCCCAACAGCCATTTTGCTTTGGTTCTGCTATGGCTGAAACATTTAATCGAATCAATTGTGATGAATCGATTATTTAAATAATCGTCAGCTAATTTATTAATCGATTAATTGTTAACTGGTGTATAGAGACTCTAAAACCTGATTTTAACTGAAAGAGCAACCCACTTAGAGCAGTAACTATATCAAGATGTGGAAAAATATATCAACGTTTTTCATTTATCCGTATGTTCTATCCTGAATTCATCAAATTTAAAAGTTTTAGTTTCAACAAGTTTAATTTCGTGAAAAGTATTTTTAAGGAACCTTTTTCTATCAATTAAAAAAATCGATTAATTGAAAAAATAATTAACAGATTAATTGATTTGCCAAATAATCATTATTGCAGCCCTAATTCTTGCTAAAGAAAAGCTTTTCAAAGCAGAAAAAAGCTACTAAACGCTTTAACACAACTTATTTTTCAGTTTCTATGTATGATATTTCCTTTAATGTTTGTAACAAAGTTAATAGTTTTTTGTTTTTGTTTTTAGGATTCAAGATACAGCAAATCATCAAGTATTTACATTTCAGGAAATTAATACATTTTCTTTTCTGGAGCTTTCAAAATTTAAAGAAACGGATGTTAAAGAAAAATGGAGTCGTAAACTTAAACACACAAAAAATGACTTCCTAAACTATTACTCTAAAACAGTTTTAGGCTAGTGTTTCTTTATTACATTTACATTTATAAAAACTGTTCCATTTTTTTATTTTGTTGACAAAATGAATTATACCAACAGCAGAAGGTCCATAGACCCTTGATCTAGAAACCTCCTTTAGTCAGGGTTCAAAATCCAACATTAAGGAAAACCTGAATGACTTTGTTCTATCAACACAATTATAAATTCTAAGCGCTGCAAGAAAATCCTAAAGGAGAATCTCAGGCTATCAGTTTAGGACCTTTTTTGCAGTGGTTCAGTCAGAGCGATTTAAAGCGATTTAAAAGAGATGATGCTAAAAAAGTTATGACTGCACTAAATCTCCACCATAATAATATAAACGACTCAGTCCCAGTCATCCCAAAGTCTACATCGCAGTAGTTATTAGGTTTAGCTCACCGTTTCTTTTATTACATTAAGCTTAGTTGGTTAGAAAATCTTTTTTTTTTTTGCTTGATAAATTCAATTTGGCCTGTAGCGCTCTTTGTCTGGCCTTTTAAAATTGTTTGACTATTTAAAGAACACAAAAGAACTAAAACTATAAGATTCCTTTGAGGGCAGCTACCTTTATATAAAGCTGTATATATTTTAATTTGTACCTAAACTGTCCTATAAAAATCTTTATTTTATAAAAAGCCAAAATGTCAAGTCACAGCAGACTTATGTTGCATTTATATTATGAAAAGTTTAATTGCATGAAATAAAACTAAACTGAAAATGAAAGTAAATGTAGAGACGTTAAGGGCATTCATGTGGCTTTCTTCTTTAAATTAGCAAGCAGTTTACTCACTCTGACTTATTTGTACTGGCTTCTCTGTCCCTTATATGTTTTTCTTTTGTCATACTGGAAATGTTTTTGTTTTTTTTTATCTTTTAATTGGCCACATGTAGATACTTTGCATTTATTGGCACTCTTGGTAAAAATGTGAAAAAAGGTTTAAAATAAGCTCATATTTTACTGTTTAATAACAGAAACGCATATGGATGACATGGCATTCTTATTCTCCACAGTGGATAAATAAGCTTGGATCTTCATTTAGTGTTTGTGAAAGTTCCAGAAACCTGCAACGTTTTAACTTTGGCTTTTCTATACTGCATCGAAATCAGAAAGAACATGGAAGCTTTTTTTGAAACATGAAACATCTTTTTTTCAAAACATGTTAGTGTTTTTTTTTGTTTTTGTTTTTATGTATTTATTACTGTTTTCAAGTCTGCTCTTTAAAAAATGAAATTGTCTAGAGCTGTTTTAAAGGAAATTTCTTTTTGTTTATACAAAAGGAAAAAATAAATCTAAGTCTAAGCTCACTTGAATGACGTGTGCATTCGTTCCCACTTTAAAGGCTTGCTAGACAAACACCATGTTTGTAACCTAGAGAAACGAGAAGCTGTGGGTTAATAATTTAAAGCTCTTAATACTCAGATTATGATAAAAATGCAGAATGTATATTAAAAAAGTTTAAATGCACCAGTTGCATGTTTCCAGTTAATTAAAATAAAGGCATAGAACAGCACCAGTTTTATTTTGTTTTTTAATATTTTCTACAAGGTAACCCCCCCCTTCCCTCACCTGATTGAATAAGATTAAATAATAATAATAATAATAATAATAATAATGATTTCTTTGTCTTAAATCTTTCTCATGCTGTTACTGTTTAAAGTCCAAGAATTTGTGATCAACATTATCATACACAACCCCGTGCATACTGAGCATAAGCTTTTCTTTTAGGAGATGGAAAAACATCTTTTTTAATTTTATTTTGTGGGATGCTGCATACACAATATCTATGCATTGTTCACCTGCTTCCTGTGAACCCTGTGCTTATCACCTGGAGCCACCTCTCCTCCTGTCACTCACACAAGGGATTTTCTCCCCCAAGAGCTGTCATTCAAGCACCAGATTAACTGCTGACATCATTAAAGCAGCAGGACCACCTGACACACTGTTGGCACAGTCCAGGAATGCAAACCGACACAGAGCGACATGGGCGCTGGCACAAAACATACACAGTATGGTAACAGGGTGGATGGGATGATTTATGTTTCCTTGTTGTGGTGTAAATTATTGAAACATTTAAAGTAAACATTGACTGAGCGAATAATAATTGGAAAGGTTATAATTTTCTCCTGAATAATTAAATAAAGGGGTCTCTCTAAATCTTTGCAGACACTTTTCTGATTGGGTTGAGATCCCAGACTAGTTTTGGTCTATATGGCTGGCCTCTGGTTTCTGGCTGGAGCCTACTGGCACTGTTCCCTGATTTTTCTATAGGCTAAACTATAGGAGTTAAGTTTGTTGTTGCATCCTGATGTTGCCACAGCAACCGTCAAATTACCGCAGTGACCTCCTGTGGGGCATCAGACACAGAAATAGATTTCTAATTCAAAACCTGTGTAGGAAAACACTCCCAAACAAAAGAAGGGGCATGTCTTATTGTGACTACTGCACACATGTGCAGAATGCTTATATCTTAGCTGAGATATAGACTGATAGCATATCGTGGGAGAAAAAATAAATAAATTTGAAGTCCAGGGTGAGAGTCTCATTGGAAACTCTGAGGCAGTTTTGAAAAGCAAGTTTAACAATGGTGTTTATTTTTCTTAGATTGCTTCAATACTGATCCAGATCCTAAATGAGGTTAGGTCTTAAAGTTGGGCGAAGAAAATTTGAGCTGAGGAGTTTTTGCAGAAGTTGCCTTAATTGAGGAGGTGGTTTAAATTAGGGAAAAGGTTAAAATAAAGGTGAAAAGTGAGAAGATTTTTAAAGCAGACCTTTGTTTATTGCTCTTGGCTCTCACTTTCTGCAATCAGGAGCTGTCCTATAAGACAGACCAAATGAAAGGCAATTGTAGGCAAGACTAAAACTCTCTCACAGTTTGGACAGGCTTCACTACTTTCTGAGGTGCAGTGATATATATCCTACCACTGTTTGGCCCACTTTTTTTTTTTTTTTAAACAAAGTTGGTTTCAGTTGATCCCATGTGGAGGGGGGTGGAGTGTGTGTGTGTTTGTAGGGGAAGAGGGGGGTTCAAGGCAAGGCACTCCACCCTTACCCAGGCCCCCCTTGGCTGCAGAGCATCACCGCTGTGCCAAGAATGTGCTGGGGTTTTCTGGGTGGCGGCCATATTGGAAGCCTGTCTGACAGGTCCATTGTGCATGTGTCAGATGGCTTCTGTGATTGGGCGGTTGTGTCCAGTCACGTTTGGGCTGTGTGTTCCAATCGTCTGTGCCACTAAGCAGGCTGTCTGTTGCTCTCACCCAGGGTTTGGAAATATGGCCCAAGATAGCAGCACCCAAGTTTTCAAATCAAAATCAAATTCTTACACTTCTTTTTGTTTCTGTAACCCTCATGTTCTTCAGTAACATTTGGTGCTTTTTATTATTATAACTTTTTTTTTAATATAAAACGTTTACATAACTTTACCCCACCACCCTTTTTACATTCTTACAGTCAAAGTCACGTAACATCCTGCGTGTCGGGCTTCACTCTCTGGGCTCGGCTCTGTGGGGGGACGACCTTTGTTGCCATGACAAACCTAGCAACAGCCACGCCCTGACCACCTTTCTGTATGGACTTCGTGCGTTACTGAGGTCTTCGCTGTCAGTTGCCGTGGTAACCTTACCCTCTCATCTCATCCAGGTAACATGCTAATTGACACATACTTTCTTGCTTCTTTTAAATGGTTCTGATTCTGAACTTTCACCTGGTATAAGTGACCATTTGCGATTTCATCCAGATTAATGCAAAATGCCGATGAAAGCAAAAAATGACACTGTTAAGCAAACTTCATTTTAGGATTTAGCCAATGCCTCCTTTTGTATGAATTAGACAGGGGGAAGTTTTAAGACACAAAAAAGGTTTAGAGCCATCCATTGCTTTACCCAATAAGGGTAAAGTGATTTGGCAGCTGGGCTCCAAACCTGCTTATTCTTTCAGTAAAATAGTCTCCATATTCCAGTCACTTATAAAACTGCAACTTTTTAAAGTGTCAGTGATCCAACATACCTGAATTAAATGCCTGGTTTGCCTTCTTACCCTTCTGTCCAGAGCAACAGAGTCTCACTGACACCAATATTTAATCCAAATAGGATTGAATATTAAATAAAACAAGACATATCTAAAAGTTGAGTGAGTCCAACCCTTTTGGCTTGGTGTTTTTGAGCTCTGTCTGAAACCTTCTGTTGGGAAGGACTCATCCTCTTTATTTTACATAGAGCTAATGCTATGTAAAATGTATGTACACTGCTTTATAATGGCTCATGAGCTGAGTTTTTATCTTTAAATGCGTTTAAGTTGAAAGTGAAAGAATTTGAAGCAGCCTCAATGATCTGCAAATGTTTTACTTGATATGTTTTTTTATGTACCTGTCATTTAATTTAATGTATCTCTGTTTCTTATGTAACTTTGCTGCCTCTTGGCCGGGACTCCCTTGAAAAAGAGGTTTTTAATCTCAATGGGATTTCCCCCCCCCCTGGTTAAATAAAAAAAATAAGTTAAGTAAAAAAATTAATAAGTTTTTATCTGATTTTGTATAATTTTTAATGTATCTGAAAACTTAGATATCTATAATAGATTTAAGTTTGTTTAAAATCTCTTAACAGCTGAAAGGTTGACCCTTTATGGTCCTTTCTCTGTTTCCAGGACAACATTTTTCTTGTTAACACAATTTACGTTTTAAATCTTCCACTTTTTTGACCTCTCAAGTTGTGTTTTGGGATAAACGTGTGTGCATACATGTAATGTAGAGAGATGTTTACCGTAGTTTAGAAAAAAAACAGCAGTAATAGAATAGAATAGAATTCAACTTTGTCATTGCACTGTCACGAGTACAAAGCAACAAAATGTGGTTTGCATCTATCCAGAAGTGCTATACAGGATATACATATTATTACAGGTGTATGTACAAGCAAAAAAGTAGTAGTAGTTAATGATGATAGCATTTTGGCAAACAGACGTCTCCTAAAGGAAGACTATCGGACTCTGCAGATTCAAACTCAAGCATCAGAATCTGATCAGAAGTGACACATATAGATCCCTATTTTTGGTAACCTTAAATTGAGACAAGGGAATACATCTTAATCTCCAGTCAAAGCTGGACTGATTGAGATTACTGTGATTATTGATTGTTTAACCACTGTTTGGATTTATCATCTCTCTGAAACCACTTGTCTAAAAAAATGCAGTGAAGAACCTCTGCTCTATTCTTGTGTATTCAGCACCAGATCCAAAATGGACAGGTTAGCTGACGTCTGTGTTAATGCAAGAAAATCTCCTGTCCAAAGCCTCTCCCTGTTCATATTGATCTCCTATTAATCTGCTGTGGTTCTCATTTTAGCCATTGTTTTCTTGCCTTGTTTTTGATTTTTCTCTTTTTTTTTCTAACATTCAGTTTGCTTTATTTGTATAGCATCACTTTACCACAACTTTCTCAAGGGCTTTATTAAAAATAAAATCTTCTTAAAGGTGTGTGTGTCTGTGTGTGTGTGTGTCTTTGGTCATGATATTGGTTGGGGTGGGGGTTTGGTAGTGGTCTGTGAGTCTGTGTCCAGTCTGGCCTCTCAGTGTGAAGGTGGAGTCATCTGCTGAGGCATATGGCAAACCACCACCCTTAACCAGACAATCAGCCATAGCAGCGCTATAGCCTCCAAAGCCATCTCTTTACCAAACTAACCTGAGCACTCTTCAAGCACACTTAAAGACTTCTCATTCTGAAGAGACCTGACACAGTATTGTTTGTGATTTCTTTATTCAGAGATATAGGTCAGTGCCTAGCTCAGAGAACAGCTGTGTTGTCACAGCACTCACTGGCTCCAGGCCTGTGCGCACTGTGCGCGGCGGCTTGGCCTAGGCAAAAAAAGGTAGAGTGGCTAACTAGCAGATGTCAGCTGTGGTGGGAGCGGTCCTCCTGTCCCACTCTGGCCAGGCTTCCCAACCCTTAATCTGTCCCCTCCCCCTTCTCCACCCTGGGGAGAGAAGTGAATGAGTTGAAAAAAAAGGGGGGGTTGGACTGAATCAGGTGTTTGGTGATGAAGCCAACATGGAGGTAATTAGCGGCTGTTATGTTGTGACCATGTGATTAACTTAGCATTTCCATTCTCACTTTGTGCCGTTGTCTTCACCAATGTATGAAGGCTGCTCTTATCAAGATGATAACTTTAGTCAGACGATATTTCTTGCATTGCTTTGTATAGATATTTCCTTCAGGTAAAAGAGCGTAGACTGTCTAGACCAGCAGAAGTGGTTTTACAGACTCAAACATTGTGGTCTCAGCCAGTTAGCCCTCTGCTACTAGTCTACAATACTTAATCCATTATTGAGCAGCTAAGGAAGCTGAGCAACCCACTGAAAGCCTCCTCAGAGCAGCCCAATGCCACAGCCCATCTGAAACATTAATTAGACTCTTTCCATCATACAATGTTCAGCAACCACACCCAGCTCACACACATGTGCAGAATAAAGCTTTCCCATAATGCTCTATGTATTCGGCAAACTAAATTATTTTAATGCTTTTAAAAGGTATATGTGCAAACCCTCTTAAATGGAGATTATTTATGAATCCAAGTTTCTGAAATAACAAATAAATGCACATGCAGATGTTTAATTTAATTTTTTTCCACCCAAAATAAATCTCTTCTAAACATTAAAACAGAATTGATTGAAATTTTACCCAATGAAGTTTTTTAATCCTATGATTACAAACCCTCCTAAAGTTTATGGTCTTCCTACAGAAAAATCCATAGTTCTATGGATACAGAATGTTAATTCGCTGTTATATTTAGTTTTTTCCTGATGATTTTCTGTTCACTCATCAGATATAGGGTGCAAAAGTTGTCAACAACTCTTTCCTTCTTCTCTATTGCTTTGACATTTGGGAAATCAGCTTTTCTCCGGATGGCTTTCACCTTTTTGTGTCTAAAAACTCTCTCTGCTTGTGTTTTGTACAATTTGTCAGTAACAATGAGATAATTCAAGATCTCAGCAATTAAATCCCCTTTGGGCTCAACGTAGTTTTGAATGTTTTTTACATCTGACTAGAAAATCTTGTTTCTCCTATTCTCTTACCAAAAAAAAAAAAAAAAACACCGAAATTTGTTTAATAAGTTTGAAGACGTTTTGCTTCCCATCCAGGAAGCTTTTTCAATTCATCCTATCTGAAAGTTATTTGGGTATCTCAGAAAAATGAAACATGTTGCTTTGTGACTTTTAGGTTTTTTTTTATTTAGTTTAAGACAACTTTATTTTGTTTATTCAGACAAAAAAATGCATTGTATTTACATAAACAGTATTGTGGCTGTTAGGCTGAATCAAAAGTTTATGAACGCTTTCCTTCTTACACCACTCATAACAAAAATTAATTAATTCATGATACAAGAAAATATACTTCACTCACAATAATGTCCTTGAAATATAATATTGTGTGCACCTTTTTTAAATCTAAGAAAGGACGTACATACCTTAGTTTTAATTTTAACATAGTCACAAAACCTTTTGGCTTTTAATATCTATTAAATATCTAGTAAACCATCCTGTTTTCCCCAGATTATCAGTGAGTCTTGTCTTTAATATCTTTGTAGTTTTTTGGTTTTTAAAAAGAAATCTGGAAAATAATTTAGACTTCTTTCCTTCGGGTCAGTCTAACATCCTGAAGGAACTCTTATAACCACGTGTAAGACATGTTAGTAGTTAAGTTCTTGTGACATAAAGGGTAAGATGCTAATGAATATATTTTTTTCAGTTTAAGCTTAGGTTATACATCTATGTTATTGTGTTTAAAAAAGGAAAAAATCGGCCTGGAGCTTAAATTCCCTGGTGTTCATTTGTATATTAATGTTTCTGTGATGCTAATGGAATTGTTTTAGGAGAATATGTCACAGATTTTCTTTAAGAATCCTGTAAAAGATGAAAACTTCCAGAAAGTTCTGCTAAGGAAAGCTAGAAAGTAGAGCTAAAATTTGAATCCTCATGAACCCACAAATGGGAATGACTTATAACAATTTGATGGTATTAATTTTGAATTATTATGTTCAGTGTATTTAGTTGCATTTTATATATTCTTCTTTAAACATGTGCATTTCCATCCCTGTTTTTCATTATTTAATATAATATATATATATATATATAATATATGTTCATTCAAGATCTTTCTAGGGAACTTGCTTTAGCTGTGCCTAACTGGTCCAACATGTTTGGAATTAAAAAGAAAAACTAGTTTTTCAGGTTTATTCTCAAACAAACTAAAGAACTTATAAATCTGAGTTAAAAACTGATCTGTAGTTTATAAAGGCGATCACCTGATCATCTACATACAGTCAAATGCAGGTTGTTACCCTCACATTTTACTGACCTCATTCTTCCCTGCTCCCACTATACTGGGCTGCTTCTAGTGAAAACTGCATTATTTCAATTCTAAATTTTAAGTCAGGATAAGTTGCTTGTATCTCCTTAAATAATCATGGCTTTTTAGGGAAAGTATATACAATAGTTTTATTGGAGGCTGATTTTAAAATAAAAACTGTCTTCATCCACTTTTGCAGACAAAGCGACATGAGGTCCTTTTATTTCTGTGGCCTTGGTACCCACTGCTGGATATGCATACTTTAAAAGTAGGACAAAAACGAAGAGGAGGAAGAAAGAGCAGGAAAAAAGACAAGAAGGCATGAAAACTGCATTAGGCTGTGGCAGCCAACACAGAGAGAAGGATGTGAATGATTCAGGAGGGAAAGGGATTAATAATGCAGGACTCCCTCTCTCCCTGTATGGCACTGTCCCTCTTTTTCTCCCGCTCCTTCACGTTCTTTTCTCTATTGATATGTTTCCCTTTGCTGTCTTCTGTCCTCACCTCCAATGTTTCATTGACCTAACCAGTAGGGGGAGCTATCATCATCAAACCTGCATAGACACTTTTTTTCTATCCTGTCCTGCTTTTCACTGCTTTTGCTTTGTGCATCAGCTGTTAACCTTCCTCTCAAACATATTTTATGAGGTGAAATAATGACCAACACTTGAGTTGCATAGCATTTTGTACATGAGTGTAGGTGACTGATGTGAAGTGCCTGACCTCACATCACCTGTGTGACTCCAATCAGCACTTTACCCTCTCCACCTCATCACACTCCCATAAGTCATGGTCATAGAGGAGCTGGTCACAGGCAGGAAATGGTGACCTGATTTAATTGTAACACTGGGGGCCCGTCAGGAGGCTTTTAATTACCTGCTTGTGTTGGTCTTCACTCTCAATCCTTCTTCTCTCCGTTCCTGCAGGATAGAGCTCTAATGGGCAGCATAACCCGGCTGTGTGACAATGCCATCGCCCTGGAATCATTCAAAGGCTCTGAGAGAGAGACCAACCCTCTCTACAAAGACTACCATGGTACAAACACACACACTCGCTTATCTTTCAGCGTCTTTTCCATCAGATACACACACATACACAGAGGCAGTGCATTAAAACCAGAGCTGGGATGGAGGCAGGGCAGCCCCCTTGCAGGCCAGGCTGTCATTGCGTGTTAGCGTGCTGCTGCTCAATCAGACGTGCTCCTCAGTAGACAGGCCGGGGGGGATTCAGCTGCCACGCCGTACCCCCTCTCTCCCTCTCACCCTCACCTCACTCCATCCCTGCCTCTCCACCCCCCTCCACCTCCAGCAGAGGCTCTCTCCCTCTCGCCTCGCCCGCTCTCCATCCCTGGTCCCATACCCCTGAGGCTCTGGAGCAGAGCAGACCAACACTAGGGAATCGATATTCTCACCATCACTCTCCCTTCCTCTCTGCCTCCATCTCTCCATCTCTCGCTCAATGTCTCCATGGCCAGCATGCTCTGCTAATAAATGGAGGGCAAAGCTTTCAGTGGAGAGACAGGACACTGGTAAGGAGACGTGTAGAGAGAGAGAAACTAAGGCATGGGAGGGGAAGGCAGAGTTTGTTTCTGCTCTCCCGGTCCTCAGCATCACTTTTTTTTTTTCTGCACAGTTTTATCATTTTTCTTCTTCTCCTCCTCACTTTCCTCTTTTCTATCACTCTCCACACATAAAGGTCAGTATAAGTGAGGGTGGTATTTTTAGCAGTTTCTCTCCAACTCTTCCACTCACTCCTTCCCCCCCTCCTTACATTTTCCCAGCCGTCCCTCAACTCTTCAAGTTGTTGCACATGTAAACATTCAGTTTTAGATTGTAGTTTTTCTTCAGAACATTTGTTTAGATCCTATACAGAAATGTTTATGCATTCTGCATTCGGCAAGCAAGTTTTAGAAACCTCGCACCATCTATGAGTTTTCACGATCTTAACTAGTGAGCTTCAAAAGTATCCTCTGGATTTTTGAGTTGATATTTATGCAGATTAACACCCCATACTTTTCCTGATTAACTAGTTCTGTTACAGGCTTCTGAAATACTTTTATGTGTATGATTGTTTTAATGCGTGTTGATGTATGCCAACGCATCTGGTGCGAGTAGGAGAGTGCATGTGTGTATGTGTGTTTGCGGCAGCAGTTCAGGGCTGCTCAAAGCATGCTGGGAAGCCTGTCACTGCAAATCAGGCAGAGGGAAATCACCCAAGTGCACAGAGGAGAGAACCCACCATCCCCCACTTTCTCTATCTGCTTTCCTTTCTCCATTACTCCCTCAATCTTTTCCTTTTCTGTGTCACGCTTGTTTGTACCACCCTACTTTTACAGTGTGTATACAGTTTTCTGGAAATGTCAATGTGCTGGAATGAAATGAAAAGGGGAGTCGAGGGTTTAGAAAATCCCACATCTGTTCCTCCTGTTGTAGCAGGAAATCATAGTTTCTGTTTTTATTATTACACTAAAAGTTGGGGGGAAAAATACCAGTTCTTCAATAATTAGGACATTAGAGGAGAGGAAGAAAGGCTTCTCTATTATTGTTTTTAAATCACAGTAAAATAATGTTTTGACATCCACTTTAGAATGCAATGTATATGATACAGAAAGAAATTATACGCTTTGATAGAAATAGATTACGGTATAAACTAAATACCTTCAAAGGAAAAATATAAATATTTATTGAATTCAAACATCCTTGGAAGGAAAATATGTTTATGGGAATGCATCTAGTTATTATTAGGAGGTTAATTCTTCAGATCTACCAAAAATAACAAAACCTCAACTTTATTAAAATAAAAGTCTGATAAAGTTTGAGGAAGAATGCTTCTTTAAAAGAGCTCCAATTTTGTCTTTATGTGTTAATGCAAAACAAATTATTGGTTCAAATTTTAAAAGTATGATCAATTTCTTACAGTATGCACAATTACATACTTTAATGAAAGAGTTAATTATTTATTTCTTTGTTTATTTTAATGTTTGTTTGTTTTTACCACTATTGAAAGATAATACAGGCAATCTTAGGTTGTTGTTCACCTTCATACTCAGTAGGCGATGTACTGTAAAAATGATTGAACTTAAAATCATATAAGTTTTGTCGTAGAGTGTATTTTCTTATTATTTCGATTAATATCATTTTTTTGATCCGGCCCCCCTGTGCTTCATAGGCTTGCTGTACGTACGCCAGGTGCCTCACCTGAACTGTCTGGCAAGCCAGCTCCCTGACCACAAGGACCTGGCCTTTAAGCTCAAGAGGAAACAGTTTAGTATTGAGGTATGTGTTAGCTTTGCTCTTTGGCTCTGCCTTAACCCCTTCCTTTATTTTATTTACAACATATGTCCTCCTATTGTTGTTTTTACCTCATTATTTAGCTTATTCACACTGGATTGCAAAATATTAATATATTCTCTATAGTTTGTCATCTTGCAATCACAACAGCACATGCTATCACCAGCTTTGTCTACACAGAGATTGATGTTTAAACCCATTTGTTTCAGCCAAACAGCTCTGTTTCAATGACATTGGATGAAAAGGGTCTGAATATAAATTTTCAAGTGTTGCCAGGAAATATCAACTTAATTTAGGTCAGGATTTTTGATACCATTATAACATGTAAAGGCTTGCATCCAAATGATGCTGCTGTAACTGTGGCTTTATGTTAAAGATTGGTGCTCTGCTGGAAGGTGTTTCAGGTATTTAGCTATCTCTTATAAGTTTCTTTAAAGATTTCTCTTTATTTTTATTCCATCATTGTTGCCTTCAGCTCCCTGGTTTCTAATGATGGAAAAGTTTTTCTCCATACCTCTAAAAGCAGATGCACAGTGTTGGTTTTCTGCTACTTTTAACGTTTGTCTGAAAGCCAATAATATCATTTTGGGCTCGTGACTTTAGAACTTGGTCTTCCACTCTTTCTTGTTTATTGGGTCTTTTATTCTCTTGAAGATAACTTTCTTTTACCCCACTCTTTCGTAAAGACCAGAATCGAGACATGCCCATCAAAAAAGTTGCCCTGTCAACAGGTGAACAAACCTGAGCTCTGCTGCTCCTTTAGAGCTACGCTGGTTTCCTGACCGCTTCTATCATTGATATCCGGTCAGCTTAGGTGGACATATATATCTTAGATGTAAAGATCTGGTTTGGTTTTTCTACTTTCAACGGATTTATTGAACTGCATCCCATTCCATATCTATAGGACATTGTTCTTGCTTTACGCTATTTACACTTTTCTACTGCTTCATCCCTGACCTGCTTTTTTCCTTGGTCTTTAGTATGTCTTTAGCACCCATCTTAGGCATTCATATAACAACTGAATATGTACTGAGATCAAATCATAAAAAGGTATGTCTCTTTAAAGTTAGTGAGTAATAATACTAACGAGTGTTATTCTAAAGATAGCTCTCTTTATCTGACAGTTTTTTTTTTTTTTTTAATAATATAATTTAATAATATAACGAAAACTGTAATTTTCTCTCCATTGACTTTTGTGGACTTTGTTAGATTTTTTTCGCACAGATGCAAAAATCCAATATAATCCACATATGTTTCTGGTTGCAATGTGAAAAAAATATGTAATAATCAAAAGGTATGATTATTTACTGTGCTCTATGTCCAAATATTTATTGTTATATATTATTGTTATATTGTTGTTTTGGCATTTGTCTGTTGCATTAAAACAGTAGCCATGAAGAGATGCTTCACCAATCAGCAAAGCTCTACCAAGCAGTTCTTACTCTACTTTGCTATTGGGGGACAGGAAAGAAGCCAAAACTATTGATTATACACTCTTACTGATGCAGTCGCTACAGTGTGAAGGTAAGAGGCAACAGAGAAAGAAAGAATATCTATTTCCATAAATTTGGCAGTCAAACCACTGCTGAATGTTAACGTGGTATGTCTTGCATTTTATTGCATGTAATTCCTGTAAAAAACACAGAAAAAAAATCTCAATAAATTTAAAGGAAATAAGAAATGTAACATAGGGTTTACCTAACTTCACCTTAAACAGCATTTACCCAATAGGTTTGTTATCATGGAATTTGCCAAGATTGCTTCACTGTTCAATAAATACAGGATTGTTGTTTGCAGATTAAATAGGTAATATTTTCCCATTTATAAGGACAGCATTTTTCCCTTTTTTATTATTTAGCAAAATTGAACTGTAGCTTAAACAGTCTATTAAAAGCCTTGCAATTTGAATATATTTGATGGACTTTTCTCCATCCAATTTAGATCCCCCCCCCCCTCATTGACTTTCTTCTAGTGCCTGAGCAACCATTCATTTTGAAAGTGTGGCCTCATCCCTCTCTCGAAAAGATACACATCTGACACTGAACTACTACTCTGGAGACAAATTAGGAGGCTCCGCACTTAGCTCTGGCTCATGATTGGTCCTCATTACATTATCATTACCTTATCGTACCCTCTGCTCCTTGGCTCTTTAGTGATTCCTATTGTCTCAGCCAGGATTTGGAGGGGAGGAGTGGAATGCCAACCCTACCCCCCCAAACTCAAAAGCTTCTAATTTTCTTTTCTTTTTGCCACCTTTGACAATCCTTCTAATCCTTTCTTCTGTCATCATTAACCCTCTCTCCTCTTTTCATTGAATCCCCTAATAGGCTCCTGCAGCACAGATTATAAGGTCTGTTAATGTCAATGATTTTGTTTATTTATTTATATTTAGAAAACAGCTAATCTCTTAAGACATCTGTTCACAGGTTTTTGTGTGTTTTACAAACCTTTTGCTCTTTGGATTAAACAGTAATAGAAATATAAAGGTGTTCAAGAGAAGTGCCTGAAATAATTTGTTTTAGTACTGGCAAACAGCTTTTAGAAATTATACTCAGGGAGCTGCCTTTTCTAGAAAATCCCTGTTAAATGCTTTGTGAACCTCTTTTGATAAACACCCCATTTACTAGGAATTAGCTTCCTGAAATTGGCTTCCATTGTCTCCAACAGTTGTTTCTCCATACTGACTTAAAACTCATAAGTTTTAAAAGATGTTTGGTGATAAAGTTACAGCTTGTTAGAGCCGTACAAAAACAACTGTAATGGTAAAATCATACGTAGCTTTTAAAGAGAACAATAACTGATAACTGTTCGATGCACACTTAGCCAGTTTTGTACACTCTGCTAATACATAACAGAACCCTGGTGGTGAAACATTCTTCCCTCTGCAGCCTTTTTGAGTGTGCCTAGCACTTAGAAATTAATGTCATAATTATTCAGGGCTTTTCTTAATTTTTCACCTTAGTTGTGCCAAGCAGGTTTCATCTCTTCTGTGGTTAAAAACCAAGTCAAACGCTAAGGTGTCTGGCTGCCATCAGCGTCCCTTTAACAATTTACAAAAAAAGGCTTCAAGTTGAATCACTAAGATTGGTTAGGTTTTTGACTTTTGTTTGTCGTTTTATTTTTTCTCTTGATTGATCTCATTCAATCATCCTGTTTAGTGAGTTTAAAGTGAGGATCCTGCTCACACCAATGAACCTATCAATCAACTAGTCGACCAATATCTTTACAGTTATAAAGCTTCCATGGCAATAAATGAGGGCAATGCAAAGTCCTATTCAAAGGTTAAAAAGGGAGCCAAAAAAAAAGATGAACTTAAAGGGGAACTTCTTTTTTTTTTACATTGGGCCCTTGATTTGACGTTATTACATCATGTTTTACTCACCCATGTAAGTTTTGTGTCATTTGGAGCCGTTCTGAAGATATTCGATTAGGTTATATCCAAGTAATGTCTTCCTATGGGCAGTCGAATTGAAGGTACAAACTGAACTGTTCATAATTTATTCTTTATGGTACGGCAGCATTCATAACATGTAGGCGAATCACTGTCCCCCAGACATCCGCGGTTATATTTTTTATATTTATATGTTTTAAAAACAAAGCAGCGCGTGTATGACGTCATCCGCGCGCGCCAGCTACCATTCATTCTTCCTGTCCCCTGAACTGCTGCTAGTTTTACTCACATGCCTGGAAGATGTCTAGTGCTACTACCATAGATGATCTCGCTCTCGAAATGGAATTGAACAATTCAGATTAGCTAGCCGAATGAATAGAAGGGGTTGAGCGTAGCCGCCTGTGGCCTGGGCTTCCTGTTGCGACTCCAGTCCGCATGCACGGATGACGTCGCTTTGTTTTTAAAACATATAGATATAAAAACTATAACCGCGGATGTCTGAGGGCGAGTGATTTGCCTACATGTTTTGAATGCTGGCGTACCATAAAAAATAGATTATGAACAGTTCAGTTTGTGCCTTCAAGTCATTGCCCATAGGAAGACATTACTTGGATATAACCTAATCGAATATCTTCAGAACGGCTCCAAATGACACAAAACTAAATTTGGTGAGTAGAACATGATGCAATAACGTAAAATCAAGGGCCCAATGTAAGAAAAAACAAAGTTCCCCTTCAAAAACTCAACAAAATGAAGCTTAAAATTGAATAAAAGATCAATGTTCAGTTAACCTAGAATATATTAGTTAAAGACTAAGGAAATGTTATTGCAGTCATTACTACCAATAGCCTCTACAGGAGGAGAATTTAAAGAAGCATAGAGCCTGGGAATTTGGTAAAACAAAGATCACAGAAAAGACTATATCCATTTTTTTATAATTTTTGAGACTTTTGAGTGGACCTTTTAATTACTGTAAACACTGGTATTTTTATCTCCTGTATAGCTGAGTTCTGCATAAAGCGTCAGTATTAAAACTGTGTTTGTTGCTAGATGGGGAGATTCATTTTAACATGAGTTCAACTCCCCTGATAAATAATCCTATGTTTCAACATTCATTAAAGGTCGGCCTTTTGAGGTTGGGTTACTATGTCATACATTTCAGAATTTAGAGCATTTTTAACACAAAGCTTTGTCCACTTTTCTAACAATCTGTTTACCGGGCTAAGAAGACTTCTGTTCTTGTTCTGCTTTTCACAAGAAAAATTAGTTCTACTGACATAAGACAATTAACGATCCAAAAATAGTTGCCATTGTTGACTCAAGAGTGCACTTAATCTAAAATGTCAATCATAATCCCTGGCCGTGACACATTCTTACTTGTCTGGGAATTTCCCATAGAACCTTGTGTCTAAAGTCACGCATTAAATCAGTTAGTCATTGTAATACAGTCATGTTCTGGTGTTTTTTTTTGTAATTGTCTGTTATTGGTTTGTGCATCAGCTGAGATGTAAATGTCAGAAAGGAATGCCAATAAATTTGTTTAAGGTGTCTTGTTACAGGAAGGTGTCTGACTGTTGGGGCATAAGCTGGACTG